TGAGGCAAATGAGGTGAAGTGACTTGCCCAGGATCACACATCTAGTGCGTGTCTGAGGCCAGATTTAAACTTAGGTCTTCCTGACTCCAGACCAAGTGCTCTATCCACTGAACCACCTAGCTGTCCCCTCCCCCCAACCATACCCTTACTCTAAAATTCAAAGCTGATGTCCTAGCCTCCTATTTCACTAAAATGAATGTGGCCATCAGAAAAGTTAACTCAATCCCCTTGTACCACTCCTTAAAACTTCTCTACTACTCATTCTCTTCATTTCCTCCCATCTCTACTTATCACTAAGTTAGGCCTTAACCTTAAGCTTAGCCCTAACCTGCACTGTCTAAGAGCTGTGTAATACTTAAATATGAGTGATTATCATAGTGATCATTACAATCTCCTCCCACCTTCTCCAGGAATTTGCTCCAAAAATCACTCCTCTCTCATTTTCATTCTACTCCATTTCATTCCATTCACTCTTTCCTATGACATATCAATGTATTCAGGTATCCCCAACCTTGAAATGCCTTCCTTTGACTGTTCTACATCTCTCTATTCCATCAAGCATGAACAAGACACTCCATTTCTTGGCTCTGGGTTTTTTCTCTGGCTCTCCCCCCATCTAGAATGCTCTCCTTTCTCTGCTCCAACTATTGACCTCTCTGACTTCCTTTTACTCCCAACTAAAATCCCATCCTCTACAAGAAGCCTTCCCTAACCCTTCTTAATTCCAGTGCTTCCCCCTTTATTTCCTATTTATCCTGTATATAGCTTGCTTTGTATACATCTGTTTGTATGTTGTCTCCCCCATTAGATTGTAAGCTCCTTGAGAGAAGGACTGTCTTTTGCCTTCTTTTTGTATCCCCAGAATTTAAGAGTGCCTGGCACAGAGTAGATACTTAAAGTTTTTTTTTTTTTAATTATCATCTCATCTTCTCTTGGTTCTCCATTTTCCATACACATCTTAACTTCTTAGAAGCTCTCTACACACAAAACCTCCATTCCACACTATTCCCTTACTCACTTAATCTCAGTTACTACCTAATTATTGCCAAATCCAAGGACTTCTTTTCAGTATTCATCCATATTGATTTCTCTATCATCTAGTACTGCTGAATATCCCATCCATCTGGATATTTTCTCTTCCTTTGGCTTCAGAAGTTATCACTACACCTAGTTCTCCTACCTTTTTAACTGTTATTTCTCTGTCTCTTTTGTTTACTTCTTTTCCTAACCCTACCAGACACATGCTTTCCAGGGTTCTTAGCCTTGGTGGGATTCCTTTTATGTATGAGTTGGATCAACTGGTCTCTGAAGTCCCTTACAACTCAAGTCCTAGCTAAAACTCTCCTTTTTGCAAGCCTTTCCTAATCCCTGCTAATGCTAGTGTCTTGGAAGGCTTACCATAGTGCCTAGCATATAGTAAGCATTTACTAAATGCTTATTACCCATTTGCCTTCCCTCTGTGATTATCTCTAATTTATCATGTATATATCTTTCTACAGAGTCCCCTCTCCCCCAAATTCTCTCTCCTGCTAGACTATGATCTTGCTGAAACCAAAGATTGGTTTTTTTTTTTTAAACCTTTCTTTGTATTCCCAGCACTTAGCACAGTGCCTGGCACATAGTAGGTGCTTAACAAATATCTATGATTCATTGAACTAAATGATATTGGGGGTCCTCAAATCTAATATTCAGTGACTCCCTCTGTCTCTGTTGTCTCTCCATTGTCTCCCTTGGCAAACTTCTTTACACCAACATCTTTATTTATCACCTCCTAAAAAATAATTCCTGAGCTATTGCACTAGCCCTGACCTCTCTATTCGAGCATCAAACTTAAATCTCCAACTGCTTACAGGACATCCTGACTACTGGATATTTCACTACATTTCACTGTGTTCAAAGGAACATAGAACCTATTTCTCCACCTCCCTGCACCCCTCCCCCCAACTCTCCCTTCTTAAACATAATTATTTCATTAATTGTGTCAACAGCAACAACACTTACCCAATTCCCTACTGACCTCTTGCTTGAAATCTTCTTTCTCACCTGTCATATCTCATTTGCTACCAAGTTCTATTTATTTTCCTTATTCAATATCCATTATATCTTTCTCTTCCATTCTATTTCATTATCATCACCCTAGTATAGTCCCTTTTTATGAACTGTAATATTCCTCTCCAGGAATATTACAATATAGTTATCCCTTCCCCATTATGGCGGGGCAGAGGGGAGGTGCATAGCGCTCCCTCAATCTGGAAAATCATGTAAAAATGTTTGGCCCTCCCTTCACACCAGAGAAGAAGTCTGATTTTTTTTCTTTTTCTTTTATGGGGTGTTTATAGTACCTTATTGCAAAATTTGGGTTGATATTATATAATCCTATGTGCATATTTTATGCATTTTTTAGTTTCTAAACATTTTCTGTATCATCTACTGGCCTTCATGTGTCATTTGTGGTTTCTGCAAAACTCTCCAAAAAATTCCCATTTAATTTCTTATGCCAACTCTTGACATATCAAAACCACGATGGGCAAAGTCATGATGTGGAGGTGATAACTGTATCTTTCTAACTGGCCACTGTCTATACACTCTCTTTCCTTTCCAACCATCCTTCATACTGGTTAATCTTCCTTATGAACAGATATGACTGCATTACTCCTCTGCTCAGAACCTTTCCTTGACTCCTTGCTTCCTATAGGATCACTTTCATACTTCATAAACTTGAGGTTTAAGGCTATTGACAGTCAGATACCACAATCTTCTTTTAAAGTACTTCCAGACAAATAGGAGTATTCCTTATACCTTGTATGCATTCCATGCTTTCCTACCTTTATGGCTCTATTTTTATTATTCACTATGCTTGCAATGCCCTTCCTTTCTCCACTGCACCTCTTGACATTTTGCCCATCTTTTGTTTTTGTTTTTTGGCTTTTGTTTTTGTTTTGGCTAGGCAATGGTGTTAAGTAACTTGCCCAGAATCACGCAACTAGTAAATGTTATGTGTCTAAGGCTAAATTTGAACTCGGGTCCTCCTGACTCCAGGGCTGTTGCTTTATCCACTGCACCTAGCTACCCCTTGCCCGTCTTTTAAAGTCCAATTCAAATGCTACCTCTTCCAGGAAATCTTCCCCTGAACACTTCTGTTGGTAATGTTTTTTCTTTGTCTTTTTTTTTCTCTGTTGATTTGTTCTTCTTAGGCCTGTTGGACCTCACCTCACATGGTAGCTAGTTTGTACCACCATTATGTATTTCCCCTACATTGTAGTTATACGTATCATATCTACCCTAATAGGGTATAAGCTCCATATAGGCAGGGACTATGTTATATTCCTAGTACACAGTAGTAAGCTCTTAATGGTTGCTGGATTTTATTGAGAATTTGGTCTATAAGAGATGAAGATAACATTAATTTGAAAGTAAAGACTTAAATCTCAATTCATTCAATTCCCAAATTGGTATAAGTTCAAGTCTGTCATGTTTATTTTTTCCATATATACATATACATACACATATGTAGGTATATATACATATACAAGTTGTAAAATGATACTAAAAACTATTCTTAAGAATATCAAAATGTTCTATTGGATCACTCTAATGTCAGGAACACTTGAGAGAAAATCTGGTCTCAGACATACTAGTTGTGTAACCCTGGACAAATCACTTATTTGCTTCAGTTTCCTCATCTATAAAATGGTGATAATAACAGCACCTACGTCCCAGGATTGTTACAAGGATCAAATGAGGTAATAATTAAAAAGCATGAAAAAAGTGCCTGGCACATAGTAAGTGCTATATGTTAGCTATTTTCATCATCATCATCATGATCAATATTATTATTGTTATTATTTTCTGGCAGTGTTGTTAAGGAATAGTTTAGAGGGAACCTTGCATTACATTAACATCAAGGGTTATGAATAGACATAATTATATACCTACTTCCTTCTAATAATCTTACATATCTATGACCCGTGAGTTCATCAAAATGCTCTTTCAAACTCATCATATAATCTTAGTATAACTCATAAAACTTGTGTAGTATAACTCACAAACTCACATAATTCTCAGTATAACACATTTCAAATGCATACTATACCCTAAAGGAATATTTCATTGCATTTGTCCCAAACTTACTTCTTTTGAGGGGAAGTTTATAATTAGGAAATTCTGATATTGAATATAATCCATGTTCATTCTATCCAGACCTTTTACAATTGACATCTCTGCATTTGTATCCCTTCCTCAGATTTTATTTTTTAAGTCTGAGTCACGGATACTTTCTTATTTTCTCACATGCTACATTACTTCTTATCCTCCTCTGAATCTTTTTCTATGTTCTTATGAATTGAAAATAAAACATGCATTTTAAAAATGTAGCTTGAAATATTACTACTGAACCATAAAAAATGACATGAGAAAATTTCAAAGAGTCCTAGGTGGTAGGAACTGATGCAAAGTAAAATAAATAGAACAATACTATGAGGGAAAAGAACTTTTTAACTTTTAACAATGTTAACTTTTATCAATGCAATAACCATGTTTCCAGAAGACATATGATGAAATATGTTACCTATCTCTTGACATAGTACAGAAAAAGACATACATTTTTTGGTCATGGCCATATATATATCAATTTTGCTTGACTATAATCACTTGTTACAAAGATTTTTTTTTCTTTCTCTCTCTTGGTTTTGCATTGGATCAGGGTATTGAGGAGAAGGGATTTAAGAGGTCAGGGGAGTTATCAGCAGCGATGCCAAAAAAAAGCCATTAAACATTTAAATATATAGAACAGAAGGAAATTTAGAAGGAAGCACAGACAAGCCGAACTACTTCAAAAGTAATGTATAGAATGTATTATATTGTGAATGATATGAAATGGAGATTCATGGTTTCAAAGAGAACCCTCTTTTTGCGTTCTGCTGTGTATATGGAAGTGCTCATTTAAGTTAATAATAAATGTTTTAAGTGCATTCCAAAAAATATTCCAAATTCTAACTTACAACATTGTGTGATCTTCTGGATATTAGAAGAGATACGCTGAGCCAATTGGGCTGGGTCGCCACCAATTCCTGGAGTGTAAGACATGGCTGATCTGTTCATTGACCAATCTCATCAGATGGGCGGAGAAAGATGAGAAGCTTTCTCTAAATGATCACCTAGAATGAAAGTAAAATAAAGCTGCATGATTATATACAAGAATAATTCATTTAAAAGTTGACACTTTAAAAGCATCAACCAGAAAAGTGAAACTGATACCCTCAAATCAGCTTATAGGGTAAGGATACAGAAATGGTGAATAGTTAACACCCTGAACTATACAGTCATGCCCAAGTGCAAAAAAATAAAAGACAAAGAAGATTAAAGGATACTGGCCTCTAAAGAAAAGCATCAAATTAAATATACACCTGATCTTAAGCAAAAGACTTCAAACTTCAGTCCCATTGAGTTGTGTTTAAAGACAAAGGCTTTTTCATATATAAGGTTAGTGATTCCTTATATTTGTAAGGGAAGGGTATCTAAGACAAAGGACTGCTAGTTAACATCAGGAAATTCATACAACACCAGCCTGAGTGAGCTAACTAAATGTGATCACCAATAAGCATACAAAAAGCCATAAAATATGAGATGTTCCTTATTTGCTACACTAATTCCTCCCAGACTGCTATGTATGGATAGAGTGCTTAATGTAATGCTTTCTCAGCCACTCTAGTCTTGTGCTCCATGTTCCCTTGTAATCCACCTTGGTATGTCTAAATTTACTGAATCTGCATTAAGATATGAAGTGTTGGGATAAGGGTATAGACCACAGTGATGGCAAATATGGGACAAATTGAGACAGGATGTGGTGGCTATCTCCAGGGAATGAAAGGGATGAGTTAAAGATGAATTTAAAGTATCAAGATTGAGGATTAGGAGACCAGCTTTGCCATTAATAGGAATAGGCAGGCTGCTAAAGGGGAATTCTAGTTTTAGAAGAAGATAATTAATAATTTTTGACAGTCTGAGTCTGATGTTACAGCAGGTTACTCATGGAAATGCCCTGCAAGCAGCTGGTAAAATGGGATTAGGGTGAAAGGTCTAGGCTGGAGCAGTAGCTTTGAGAGTTCTAAGTTTCAGGAAGGACTTAAAAGATCAACACCAATGGTATATAACAACAACAACAAATATATACATATATATATATATATATATATATATATATAATGTTTTTCCCTCCTTCATATGCTGTTTCTATGAAGAATTCTTTGAGAAAATAAAAAATACAAAAGACATTGGGAAAACTGGCGTTATAAATGATGATAAAAATGTTGTAAGATGGAAAAATGATAAACTCTAATTTGATAAATGCATGATTCAACTATAAAGTAAAAGGCTGACTGTAGATAATGAGAAGTGAAGAACAGAAAGAGTAAGAAAAAATTAGGACTGGAAACATAAATGCAAATGTCATTTATACATAGGTGGTTAATTGAACTCATGTTGGATGAATGTAAATAATACGTAGAAGAATTTGAAAACAGGAATAAGGTTTTCATCTTAGGAGACACTTCTAGATGAACTCTGGGGAGAAAAGAAGCCCATATGGATACATAAGTAGGAGAAACATTAGTAGATATAGTGTCCCCAAAATCAAGCCTAAGGGAGGTTTGTCTTAAGTTTTACAAACAATAGAGATGCTGGAAATTCTGACTAGAAAAGAGAACATTAAATTTGCCTAAGAAGAGGTCATTGAAACTAACATTTTACAAAGAATCATGATGGAAATTCATTTTTTTTCAGATATCAAAATTGAAAAATACAAGCAACAGAGACAAAATTGTTAACAAAATGTTTAAAGACTTTAGATATGAATCAAACAAAGAGAGGGGAGCAAGTTCCATCCGACCTGGTCCAGAGCTATTTGCAAAGGAAGTCTCTAGTCAGAATGCCTTTAGCTCCCGGTAGCATAATTGTAGTTCTCTAAGGACAAATCTACCAGCCATCTAATAAATAACAAAATCCGAGGCATAATATAAACAGCTCAAAACTGATAATTTGTAAAGCATCTGAGTGGGTCAAATGTGCTTACCCCTCTACATCTCCAAGGAAAATCTAAATATTCTTTGACCCCATGGACCTAGGCTAGTGTCAGTCCAGGCCAAAGTTCTGCAGTGTGTAGAATTTTTGTTATAATATGTACCAAGGTGGCTACATCATCAGAAGGGCTATTTTTTTGCCTCCCCAATGAAAATGGTGTGGGAACTACCTTTGAGATTTAGGGTGACAGCTTAGCAGGCTTAATTACATCTACTGTACATTCAAAAGGTATCAAGTATCCCTGGTCTATTTCTAATTGAACCCGAACCACTTAGAGGCAGTTGGGTGGTACACTGGGCCTGGAGTCAGGAAGACCTGAGTTCAAATCCAGCCTCAGCCACTTCTTAGCTGTGTGACTCTGGACAAGTCATTTAACCTCTCTCTGCCTCTGTGACTTCAACTGTAAAATGAGGATAAAGATAACACAAAACCCAAAGGGTTGTTGTAAGGATACAATAAAATAACTTTTCTAAAGCACTTAGCACTGTGTCTGGCACATAGTAGGACCTTATTAAATGCTTATTCCCTTCTTTTCCCCTCCCCAGTGAGGTTCAGTCAGAAGAATTCTGCTATTCCACTTCTTATTAAAACAGTGACAAGTCATTTCCCTAAGCCCATCCCCTCCCCAGTCATTTCTCCAGCAGTCTAGATGTAAGCTCTTTTCCTTCTCCTGAATTCTTTCTGTATCCTTATCCATCATAATCAGTATCTTTTCACAATCTCTTCTCTACCACTTCTAACATACTTACTACTAATACCATAGACTTGCCAATATTCTAGGCTTGTAAACCTGAAATTATATTTCTCTTTTTCCTATGAATTCATTTTTTAAACCCAGATCTTATAGAACCTCCTATACACCATAGCATTTCTCTTAATTTACAAGCTGACAGGACAATCTAGGCATTAGCACATCATAACTAAACTCCATTAAGCTCTTTCCTCAGCCCCCTTCAACCAACAGTTCTTTACTTTGCACAGACATATGCACAAGGTTGCTGACTTCAAAGATTCTACTTTTCAGTTGAGGAGATAAGACATGAACCAAATAGAGAACAAAAGACAGGACATAACTAAATGTTAATGATGTGGTGAAGAGTATAAAAAACTGGGTGTTTCTGGGGGAGTGCCACAGGTGGAAGCTTCATAGAGGACATGAGATTCTAGCTGGGACTTGAAAAATAGGCCTTCATAAGTAGGAATTAAAAAGACAGAGAAGAGAAAGGGGGCAGAAACTGAAAAGAGCGTGAGCTGGATATGGTTCATTCTTCAGACAGTGGGATTCCTTGGACTTGAATACAAAGTCTGTGTTGGACAATAATGAAAAATAAGGTTAATTTTACAGAGAGAATTTTATTCAAGCCCCTCTGGACCACCGGTTGGTAACCTTATGATGATTTCCCAAAACATTTACTAAAATTTAAACTCTTGACCTCAAGATTTGTACCGATTCCTACATCTTTACCACAGCTTGTCCTTTTTTTTTTTTTAAGTGTTATTTGAAGCTAATAGGGAACAATGGGCTAAATAAAGCTAATGGGATTCAGAAAAAATTCATGGCTAGGTGTGACATAGAATGCAAGAACAGATAGCTTAGAGGATCACAGGCCAGTCATTTAAACTAACTTCATACACTTGCTTCTTTGCTTAAAAATAGGCACAAAAACTTACATTACCATATGACACAGTCTATTATTGAATGTCTGCATAAGTTCACACTCTATAAAATCCAGTGGTTGGTCAGAGCAATTTTTACCTAAAACTACTTTCTGAGATATTTTTTAAAGCTAAATGAGCCATCAGCAGGAAGAGTGAAAGTTTAAAAAAAAAAGACAAAAAGGTGCGTGTGTTTTGTAATCTACAGGAACTAAGAGTATGTGAGAAATAGTTCTAACAGAGAACAATCAAATAAAATGTGCTCTTTTCTTGATGAATATATATATATATGTGAAAATGTATATTATAGTATATTATATTAATTATTTAAGCATGGATAGCATATGGGAGCCAGGATGTGCAGTGTTCTGAGTTGAAGCACTGATTGATTGAGACCATAAATAAGCAATTATAGCAGCTGATATTTATATAATACTTTATGATTTTCAAAGCACTTTACATGCATTAGCTCATTTGATCCTCACAACAACACTGGGAAATGGGTGGTAGAGGTATTACGACTGACATTTTGTGGATGAGAAAACTCAAGCACAAGCTGAGGATCATATAGCTAATAAGTTGCTGGGTCAGGATTTGAACCCAGGTCTTCTGATAAGGAGGGGAGCAAAAGAGGGAGATAGAGAAAAGAAAAGGAGAGGAGAGACAGGAGGGAGGAAGAGGGAGAGAGGAAAAGAAAAGGGGAAGGGGGAAGGGAGAGAAGATGAAAGGGGTGAGGAAGAAGGAGAAAAGGGGGAGAGGGAAAGGAGAAGGGAAGAGAGGGAAAGAGACAAATACAGAAAGGAGATAGAGAATTCCATAAAACCAATGCTGCTACCATTTTCAATTTAGAAATAGGATCAGTTATGTTCAGTGGCTTTTAGAATAGCGGTATATACAAGGATTGATAACTATTATAAACTACTCATAAAAAAGAATGAACATTTATGTAGTTTCTTTGGTCTACTTAGCTCCCAATTACATTTTTTTTAAAAAATTTTAAACTTTTCCACTTTTTCTTTGTGGAAAATTTAGATGGATATGGGAGATGCAAAAGGAAGTTAGAGACCTATAAGACAGATCATATTAGACAGGAGTGGAGATTTAAAAAAAAAAAAAGAAAGGAGCCTTTTTTTTTTTGGCCAAATATTCTAGGTCACATTATCCCCTAAAGTGGTACCGACATTCAAGAACTCTAAGCTCTTAGGATCGATTTTTTCTTAACTTAAAAAAAAAACAACTAAATTACCCTTTTTTATATTTAATAGCACAATCAGTAAAGCCCCACCTCATCCTCAAGCCTCTTTCCCGAGGGAATTACATGTTAGGCAGAATTCCAAAGTAACAAAGTATCATATTCAAACACTTATCAGATAAAGTCTGTTACTTGGTGAAAGATAAAGTTACCAAATTAGTTGACAAAAGAAACAGAGTAGATGTAATCAATTGAGGCTTTAGTAATATGTTGTATCAAAGCTTGAGAACAAGTTTCCCCTCAGACAGTTTAACTAGGTCGTATTTTTAATTTGGCTAGAGGTCAAGGTCATGGGTGATTGCCTAAGTAAGCACCAGGATGAGGAACTGGGCATTTGTTGGGGGTCAATTGCACTAAGCTGATGTTCATGATGCATAGCATAGAATGGAGCAAAATATAAGCAGGTGCCATTTGCTACTCATCCAGCATCAGTTTCACCTCATTTCCTCCTCTACTATCACTGCTAATTTTTCTTAAGTTATGGAATGAATAGGGATTGTCCATAGAGCTAAGTTGTTGGAATATTATCTATCCCTAGCTACTGTTCTTTGAAGTGCTCTTTTTGTCTTTAGAATACAAAGAACTGAACATCTCAAAATAAAAGAGTGATGGATGGTAGGAAAAGAAACTAGGCCCACAAATAAGAAAAAGGAACAATAGTTTTGCACAGAGCAAGCATCTGCTCAAAGAAAAAATAACTAAATGATGATAAAAATCTAAAAGATCATAAATTTCTGGGAACTTGAATATCAGGAATTCAAAAAGCTGGAACAATTTCAGGGTAGAAAAATATAAATAAGTGACAAGAAATTATTAAATATATTATATAGAGGAATTAGTGAAACAGTTACTTTAAGAGCTAGCCTAAACAAAGGAGACTGTGATCAGTGCATACAAGTCAGTATTTTGCCAGTTTACTTAAAATTATGATGAAATGCATAGTCTGCCATGGTTGGCAGACAAAGTTCAATTCAAAGGGCATTTATTGAACACCAACTACGTGCCTGAGAGAAGGAAATGCAAAGACTGGGGGGGGGGGAACCTCCATATTCTCTTGGCCCTCAGAAACTTTAGGTTCATTAATTTCAGAAAGAAAAACCTTTAGACTTAGAAGTTTCTTATTATTTTTTTTTCTGAGATAACTTTTGGAAACATTTTATTTAGAAACTGGATCTCTTCTCCTATGACAAATTCATCAGTTTAGGAAATAATTTCCAGCCCCAGAGTTTCCAGTCCTACATTAGGGACCTTAGAAGACCTCTGATTTCACCTCTTCATTTTAGAGATGAATAAATTGAGGCCTGGACAGGTTAAGTGACTTGCTTAACCTGGAGTTAAAAACTGGAGTCTTGAACCTAGGTCCTTTAACTCCAAATCTAGTATTTTTTTCCAAATAAACTTGAGGATATAAAAATGCTAAAGAAAAGACTAAAAAGCTGACACAGGTTTCATGCCCCAAATAGCAATCTTTGCTTTTTTTTCTTAAGCCATTTCTAAAGAGCATTTTAAAGACATACTAAAACTAGATTTTTCAAACAAAAGCTATTTTACCAAATAGCACCCCTCGATTATTTGACATATATATTTTTAAAGTTTGGGTAAAAGTATGTTTATGGTGGGGTACAAAATTTGCATGGGCATTTTAAAAGAATTTATTATTTACCATTAGAGTCCTATTCGGAGATCTCACCATATCAAGATGAGCCTAGGTTCTTAAAGGACAGGCCAGTATAATATCTTGAAACATTTTGGGTATGAGACGTTTTGGGCAGAGACGATAGGATGAGAAAAAGACTATTTAAAATCCTCAGGGTTGTCTCCAGCATTACTGGAGGCAGAATGGTGAATTGTTTGACTATAGAAGTTCATGAAGACTATCAGAAGTTCATGAAGACTATCAAGGCATAAAAGACCTGTGACCAGTGACAGTGGAGAGAATTTTCACACCGATAAAATTATTAATCTTTAAGCATTGAAGCATAGGCAAAGCACTAAACTAGGTGCTCAATTACAAACATAAACAAATGCACTTAAAGGAGCTAAAACAACAACAACAAATAAATCTCACTGATTTCTTAGACTCTATAGCACTTTGGGACATTTTTTTTTAAGTATGCCAGCGCTGAATTCAGGGCCTGTCACATAGGTAACACATAATAAATGCTTGTTGGTTTATTGGAAAGCCAAAACCATCATGAAGGTAGGATTTAGGTGCCCCTTGCCCCTTTAGGCCCCTGAATTCATAACAACTATAGAAAAATGGCTACCAAAGCCAGGTGGTAAAGTGGAAAGAACACTGGGCTCAGAAAGAGGAATACTCATCTTGAATTCAAATCTAGCCTCTAGGTTATACATAACATATTTGCAGTTTTATTTGCAATCATCTTTTTTTAAAAAAATCATACTATATTATGGAAATGCTTGTTTTATTCCATAAGTTAAAAATAAAAAATCAAACCCAGTTTCAGACATTTACTAGCTGTGTGATCCTGGGCAAGTCACTTAACCCTGTTTGCCTCAGTTCCTCATCTGTAAAATGATCTGGAGAAGGAAAGGCAAAGCACTCCAGTATCTTTGTCAAGAAAATCCCAAAATAGGGTCATGAAGAGTCAAACACATTTGAAATGACTCAACAACAACAAAGAAGGACCAGAATTTAAGAACATCTTGAAGAACCAAACTCTCTCATTTGACAAATTTGATTCTGATAGAACATGTTTTATTTCTTTTATTATTTGAAAAAGTTTTAGAATGCTAAGGAACACTGATAACAAAGACAGAGAGAAAGGCATGAAGTATGATGCATAAATACCTAAGTCTAATCAAGTTTCAAGTGTCTTTTTAAAAAAGCATCAACTATGCCTGGTTGTTTTAGTGTTTATTATGGTTGTTACTGTGGTGGCCTGGTGCAGTGGACAGACCTGTGTTCAAGTCTCACCTCTGATATACACACCCTGAACAATTCATTTAATCTATCACTGTTCTGGGCAACTCTCCAAAACTATAAATTTCAGGGAAAGTGCTGATATGCATTGGTAGAAGCAGTTTCCACATCTGGAAGTTAACTATATCAGTGAAATAACAGATTCAGTATCTATCCCTTATTGTTATTATTCAGTAACAATAGGTAGTTGACAAACTTGTTCCTGAGTATGGAAGCTATCATCGACTATTTGGGGATTCTATCTCTACAACTTTTTTTTTTAAACACTTTCTTCACTTCAGAGCTCTTCTAGCATCCAAGTCCTCTTCAATCTCAGCTTACATTACCACTGAGATTTTTCATGTTCACCACAACTTTCACCCCAACAAGCACCCAATTTGGGGATTAAGTAGAATTCCATATTTAGGTTTATACTTTATTCACAGTTGTACTATTTGTGTACACCAATATTTGGAACTTAGAGAAAACTACAGTCTAGAATTTATAGGGTTTGTGTCATAAGGAGGAGTAAAAGTGAAGTGACCAGAGGGGAGAAAAAAATAAAGATGGAACAGGGTGTTAGTGAGTTAATATGGTCTCTTATTAACTGATGTGGAAACTAAGAATCCAGAGCATAATCCTGCAGTCACAAGTTTAAAGGAACCTGCTACTGATGCTCATTCCATATCACAAGACATAAGTCAGGACCCCTATCAATCTTTGCACAGGTGTGGCACAGGCTAGCCCAGAAGGGTTGCCTACTAAGCTATCCCAACTTTACCAAACTGAAAAGTATTTCATAAAATTGCAAAATGATTTGCTTGAGTCTGCATATAGGCAGGAAATTGTTCTGAACAAGCCTAACTGGAATATATGGGAGGCAGTGCAAATAGAGTCAATGTCAATACATTTAAGATACTATATTTCAATTTAAAATAACTTGAAAGGTTAAAAAAAAAAATGTGGTCTGACCTGGGCAATGGCTTTTTCTATTTACAAGAAAAGGAGGGGGAAAAAAGTGACTAGGAAGAACCTGGAAGGACTATTTTCTTTGTTTTCAAAAACTCTTGATAATCGACTATTTTTTTTAAGTAATTGAAAATTAAACATTTGAACCAAAGTCAACAAATGAATTTTACCCAATGTATGACTTCCTGACAATATAAACTATGGTTCATTTATTTCAGTACAGTATTCTATTTTTTCAGTTCCTGAATGTTCAGAAAGGACACTTTGAAACTTGTTTATTAAACACGAGTTGAAAAGAGGAAGAGGTCAACTCCATCCCTTAGGGGCACAGTTATGAATTTCTGGCTCATCTCATCAGCCAACTCCACCAGGGTTTGTGACAATGTTTCCAGTAGAACTTTCGATCACTGAAAAGTACACCATGAGCTATTTCCCTATCTCCTGACTTCACGTGTGCAATTGTCTTTGTGCATGGTGCTTATGCCCGGATGAGCTAAGAAAGAAAAGATTGGGAGGGCTCAGGAAGGGATAGGAGTGTTAGACTATATTCACATTCCCCTGGTGCCCGCATGGGCACTGACTTTACTCTCCAGCGTCCTCTCTGAGCAACAGGTTCAGGGGGCAGGGCTTTGGGAATACAGAGGCAACAGGAACGAGAAGCACAGGCAGAGATCTGGGAACACAATTGGGGTGAGCTCCGGCTCACCCAGAGAGGGAGAGGCAAAGCGGCAGTCCCCGGGGCCAGCTGAGCTCGCCGAGAATGCGGAACTAGCGCCCCCCATCCCCCAACACACCCGGCCTTCTGTCAGGTCAGGGAAAAACGCCCCTCAGCCCCAATACAGCTAGAAACTTCTCAGGCCTCCTCCGCCCCAGTAACCGGGAAGGGGGAAGGGAGGCGGAGGGAAGCAGCTTCTGCTGCTGCGGCAAAACCCAGGGCGGCGGCCAAACCCAGGGCGGCGGCCAACGGACACAACAGTACACAAACAAGCAGGAGCGCTGCAGAGACCCCCGCAGACGCCAGGCAGGCCGCAAAGCCATCGGCACCGCTCCGCGGGCGCGCTGACGGCCAAGGGGCCCCAGATGTCCTCTTACCAAGACCTCCTCCTTCTCCTCCTCCTCCTCCTCCTCCACCGGCGGCCACCCTTAAGCGTCCCGGAAGGCACCCGGCTGAATTTCTCAGCTGATGGGCGGTGGTTCGCAGCAGCCACCTCCCTGCTGCGCTCGCGCTGCGGCAGAGCTAGGAAAAGAGGCGGGGCCCCGACCTCTCTCATTGGCCCCGAGTCCTGAGTGACACCCACCCTTTTCCTCCCGCCCCTCCCTTTTTTTCTGTGCGAGGCAATGGGTTTTGCGACTAGAGGGCAGGGAATGTATTTTAGCCCTTTAGTCAAAGTGTACTCTAAGATATTTGCCAAAAGGAACAAGGTTACCTGTCTGTCTCCTTTACCAGGGAGAAAGCCGTCGCCGCCCTTGGCGGACACAAAAGACCCTAACTTGTTTGTATTAATCTTTAGTATGATTAACTTGCATTTCATTTCTAAAATATCCCATTTCCACGGACCCTTTGGTAGTTACGGCAATAATCACAGATCCAGAATTTCCATTCACAAACTCACTATTAGCTAGGAAAGACACACTGAGGCCAAGGGTGGAGTCACAGACCCCGCCCTTTCTGCTCCTTTTTCTCCGCCTATAAATGGGAAGAGTGATACTATTATTGTTTCTTGACTTTGTACAGTTTTGGCTTGAAAATGTAAGGGCACACAAAGCAAAGTAATATTCAGGGTGTGACGGTAGTCAGATAGTCAATAAGCATTTAATTATTAAGTTCTTACGATGTGCCAGGCGCTGTGCTAAACGCTTCCGACACCAAACACCTCCCCTCCCCCCCCCAAAAAACCTTCCTGATCTCAAGGAACTCAGTCTAAGATGGGGTGGGGGGAAGGTGGAGTCAACATGTAAATAACTAGGTAAATATAAGATATATACAGTACACAGACATATACAGTATGATATCTGTATACTATATATATCTTATATTTACATATATTACATATGTGTATAGGTATGCATATTTACATTACAATGTATATAATTTACATGTGTGTCTGTTTATAGTGATACATATATATTACACATGTGTATATATTTACATGTATGTAATCTGAAAGATTAATCTTCGCTAGCAATTGGAAGTAACAGGCAAAGCCCTCATGCAGAAAGCAGAATTTAAAGTGAGTCTGGAAGAAGGAGTGGGAAGGGGGGAAATAAAAGATAGGAGTGAGGAGGCAGAGCATCCCAGGCAAGGGAGAGAACCAGTGCAAAGGTACCAAAATGGGAAACAGTATGTTACTGAGGGTATGTAGTAATTCAATGTAACTGGGCCAGAATGAATGGAGGGGAGTAAAATGTCAGAAGACTAAAAAGGTATAAAGGGCTCAGTTTGCAAAGGGCTTTAAATGCCTGGAGAAAGGCAAGTCTTTCTAATCCTAATGTGAAATTACTGTAAAGTCAGGAAAGCCAGACAAACTTTTGTTGTGTTTGAGAAATGCTGTCTGAAATGGAAAGATAATAGATGCTTTGCTCCAAGTAAATAATATGTAGATGGCTGATGAGGTCAAGTTGGAATGGTGACAGGAGTTACAGGAGTGAGGTCATTGTTTAGACTCATTGTGCCTGTTAGAAAAATATTTTGATTGCATTTTCCCTTGGAAGGTAAGACATACCCCATTGACACCTTATTGTGGCCACTGATCTACAAAGTGAGCAAAGAGAAATATAATTTCCTGTTTGTTACCAGGCCCTTTCATCCTAAAGTACACATAACGAGCATAAGCAAAATTAATTAATTAGAACAAACAAATCCATCATGAAGATTTGTACTAATACCTACTGTAAAAAATGAAGTAGATGAGGTGGGAATATAAATATGCACACAAATACATGCATAGGGTATTATGCATGAAGATGAAGGAGAGAGAAATTACTCTGTACCAACAATGAATACATCTATGGAATGAGTCTCTGACTTCAAGACAAAAGTGGGTACGAGGAAAATGGTAAAATAAGATAGAGAATATTGTACAGTAATAAGAAATCAAAAGGCACAGAGGCTTATAGACTACTCAGAAGTTTCATGCCCATATGCTAGAAACTCTTTCTTTTTTCTTTTTTTCTGGTGAGGCAACCAGGGTTAAGTGACTTGCCCAGGGTCACACAGCTAGTAAATGTCAAGTGTCTGAGGTCAGATTTGAACTCAGGTCCTCCTGACTCCAGGGTTGGCACTCTGTCCACTGTGCCACCTAGCTGCCCCAGGGAACTCTTTCTTAAATAAGTTAGAGGAGTTTTTATTCTTTGGATGAGTACCTTTTAATGGCCAACGAGGTGCCTTCCAGCTCTCAAGTTCTGTAATTCTGTGAAACTGAGTACATCTTAACAAAAAGGAATTGACTAGTCACTGTCACAGATTCATTTCAGAAACAGCTGTCTCCTTTAGAACAGCTATTCTCAAACTATGATCTGAAAATTCCTGCAGGTCCTAAAGAGACCCTTTCAAATGGTCTGCAAGGTCAAAGCTATTATCACAATAATACTAAGATATTATTTGCTTTTTTCACTCTTCTTTCACAAGTGTACAGCGGAGTTTTCCACTGATACGTGAAATAAAGATTTGGCTGCAATAATGAAGACTATGTCATCTACAGAATTGTATTTTTGCATTACAATTGGAGAAATGTATGAACATGGCTAAACTTGATGTTTTGCTTGTATTCATCAGGTATCAACAAATCATTGAAGAACTTTATGTGAATTCTTGGCAAGAAACACAAATGGTGCTGAAATACACAAAGTGTTGAATGACTATTTTGAATCTCATGACTTATCCTGGAGCAACTGTGTTGAATTTTGGGCTGATGGTACAAAAATAATTCTGGGTAAAACTCCTAGTGCCATAGCAAAATCAAGGGATGTGTTCCAAATTGTACTAGTAGCCATTGTATTCATCATCCCCATTCACTTGCAGTGAAAAAAAAAGTTTAACTTCAGAATGTCCTTTGATGAAGTAATAGAAAGTATTGATTTTATTAAATCTCAACACTTCAGTAATGTCTTTTTAATATTCTGTGTGACAAAATGGGAAGTATGCATAAATCACTTCTGCTGCACACTAAAGGGTGATGGTTGTCTCCAGGAAAACTACTCGTGCAATCATGTGAGTTGCCAGATGAACCATCACTTTTTCATAGATCACCATTTTTACTTGAATGAATGACTGGCAGATGCACTATTGTTATTCAGACTTAGATATTTGGTATGTTTTTTTTTCTTCCCAGAAATGAATGCAGTGAGTTGCTTATTTCAAGGAAAACAATTGATAGAATTTGTTGCTAAAGACAAAATTTAAAATTTCAACAAAAATAGAATTTTGGAAAATGTGTGGCCATCACTATGAGTTTGACAGCTTTCCAATGCTTAGAGATTTTTCTGATGACATCAGGGGGTGATATTAATAAATGTGATTTTTAAATATTGCATAATGACATGAATCAACATTTGGAAGTTATATATAACTCAGTGAACCAATATTTTCCAAATGACCAAAGCATGATGTTATAAAACCATGCATGGATAAAGGATTCATTCAAAATACCAGATGGAATGATGGCTTTTAATATGACAGTATAAAAACTTTATTGAAAATGTTTCAGATTCACAACTAACTTCTGTCAACTACCACTAAGTTTGTAAGTACAACTTGTCAAGTTTTGGGGTATCATCAAAGAAGAAAATTCACGATTATTAAATGCTTCTCTCTTTTCCAAAACACATCTGTGTGAGGTTGAATTTTGTTCAATCACTTCAACCAAAATAACATCTAACAATAGATTCAATGCAGAAGCAGATATGCAAATATATTTTTTTCTATTAAGCTATATATTAAAAAGATTTGAACAAATGTAAAAATGGAGAGGGTGGAGTTATGATGATGGAGTAAGGCAGGAGCTAGTCTGAACTCCCCCAAATTCACCACCAAAGGACTGTAAATAACAACTCAAAACAAATTCTGGAGCAGCAGAACCAACAAAAGGACAGAGTGAAACAATTTTCCAGCAGCTGGAATCCAGCCCAAGATAACTTATAAGGTTGGCAGGAAAGATCTATCTTGCTAGGGTAAGAGGGGAGCACAGTCCAGTGCAGGTGGAGACCAGGCAAGCCAGAAGCAGGCCACACTCCAGCAAGACAGTAGTGAGAACCCAAGCCTTGGAATTGAGTAGCAGTGAGACGCTGTTCAAGAAGCATCCCCTTCACACTAAGAGAGAAACCCAACTTTAACAGCAAGTTAAATGTCACGAAATAGGCTGGAAAATGAGCATAAAAACAAAACAAAAACCTTACCATAGAAAGTTGCTATGGTGACAGGGAAGATCAAGAACAAACCCAGAAGAGGACAACAATGTGAAAATGGCTACATGTGAAGCTTCAAAGAAAAATGGGAATTGGTCTCAGGCCCCAAAAAAAATTTCTGGAAGAGATCAAAAAGGACTTTAAAAATCAAATAAGAAAGGTAGAAGAAAAATTGGGGGGAAAATGAGAGTGATGCAAAAGAATCATGAAAAAAATCAACAGCTTCGTAAAGGAAGCACAAAAATGGGGAAAAAAATGCACAAAAATTTACTGAAGAAAACAATACCTTAAAAATTAGAACTGGCCAAATGGAAAAAGAAGTATAAAATCTCACCGGAAAAAAAATCCTTAAAAATTAGAATTAGGCAAATGGAAGCTAATGACTCCATGAGACATTAAGAAACAATAAAACAAAATCAAAAGAATGGCAAAAAAACAGAAGAAAATGTGAAATGTCTCATTGGAAAAACAACTTACCTGGAAAATAGATCCAGGAAAGATAATATAAGAATTATTGGGCTACCCCACCATCATGATAAAAAAAAAAAGAGCCTGTCTATCAAATTTCAAGAAGTTATCAAGGATATCCTAGAACTGGAGGGTAAAATAGAAATTGAAAGAATCCACCTATCACCTCCAGAAGGATATCACAAAATGAAAACTTCCAGGAATATTATAGTCAAATTCTAGAGCTCCCAGGTCAAGGACAAAATACTGCAAGCATCCAGAAAGAAATAATTCAAATATCATGGAGCCACAGTCAGGATAACACAGGATTTAGCAGCTTCTACTTTA